GTTGAAATATCCCTAGTGAATCATTCCTTTTATTATTAGATAGTGACTGTTTTTGTGCCTGATGTTTTCCACTTGAAATGCATTGCTCTGATATTCATAGAACTATACCTTTTGTGGGGAAGAAAGAGCAGATTTGCCTGTTGCCTTATAAGTATTTTTCTATCTTTGTATTTAAAGTGTGTTTCTTGTCAGCATCATAGAGGTAGATTTTTGGGTTTTGATGTAAACAGAAAAATATGTTATTTAACTGGTGAATTTATGTTATAATGTGTCCAGTAATTACCAATATACTTGTATTTATTCCTCTCATTTTATTTTGTGCTTTTTATTTACCCTGCTTCTCCTTCCCTTCCTTTTATATACGTAATGCGTTTTCTTTCTTCCCTTTTTTCCTCTATTCTTGGCTTCTAAGCTCTGTATTCACTGTCTTTTATTTAATGGTCATATGTTGTTCTCATCAGATAGTTTAGAACCAGGTTGTTTCCAGCATTCCCAAAGTGAGCCAATGCTTCCTTTGATTTACCTGCCACTTTCTTTGTTCACCATTCCAAGTTCTTTCACCTCACTCTTTCCACTGGGGCTCAGTTAACTGCTCCTTGAAATACGTCATTTAATAGTTCTCTTTTAGTGAATGTGTGTTGGTAATGGATAGGTATTTAATGTCTGAAATTTTTAAAATCTTGCTCTCATTCTCGAAGTATAACTGGGCCTAGAATTCTACCTTGATATCATTTTTCTTGGTGCTTTGAGGTCTTTTCCACTGCCTCTGCTGTAGACCGTTGCTGTGAACCATCTATTCTCAGTTCATTGTTGTCCCTTTAGAGTAAACTTTTTCTTTCCTAGTATTTTAGAGATCTTCTCTAAAGATCTAAATGATCTAAATGATTTTGGCATTTGCAATTTTACTATCTTGTGTGTGGGTGGTTTCTATTTTTGGTTTCCTTGGGATGCATTATTCTTCCCAAATCTGAAAGTGCTAGTATTTAATCAGTTGTGAAAATTTTCTGCTGTTTTCCCACGAAGTGTTGCTTCTTCTTATTCTCTCTGTTCTCTTTTTTAGGAACTCTATGTATAAATGTGTGTGTTAGTTTCTTTTTTTTTTTCCTTTTCCATCTGTCTTAACCTTTCCTTCATGTTCTCTATCTCCATCTCTCTTTATTCTTCAATTTATAAATTCTGCAATTTTCTTTGTTCTCCCTCCCAGTTTATTGTATTGTCTTTAGACAGGATTATACTACTGTTTGATACTTCCATTAAGATTTTAATAATATTGACTATATTTCTCATGTCTTGACATTCCGTTTGTTTTGTCTCAGTTATACCTGATGTTTTTTTGATAGTGGCTTTTAAAAAATATTTTCAGGGTGCCTGGGTGGCTCAGTTGGTTAAGCGTCGAACTTCGGCTCAGGTCATGATCTCGCGGTTTGTGAGTTCGAGCCCCACGTCGGGCTCAGTGCTGACAGCTCAGAGCCTGGAGCCTGTTTCAGATTCTGTGTCTCCCTCTCCCTCTGCCCCTCCCCTGCTCACACTCTGACTGTCTCGGTCTTTCAATAATTAACATTAAAAAAAATAAAAAATAAAATAAAAAATATTTTCAAGTCATTATACTTGTTCATATTTTATGGTCTTTAGTAATATCTGAAATTTATGGAATTCTAATTTTTCTGTTTTTGGGGTCTGTTCACTTTCTTTTATGTTGGATGATTTCCTAGTGTGTTTTGTAATTTTGGATTATAAATTTACTTTGATTAGAAGTTTGTCTACAGGAAACCTTAACAGCCAAAGTTGAGGGTATATTCTTCCATGGAAATTTGTTTGCTTCTGCTGAGATACCTTGAGTATTGTTGATCCTGGACCATTTTTTATGCTGATTTCTAAACTTGGGTGTTTCTGGCTAATTGTGATAGTTATAAATTCAGTGCAAAATCCACATGAGGCATTATTAGCTCATGGTTGTAGATTCTTCCAGAAGACTTTAGCTCTCCCACCTAAAAGCCAAGATGAGACAGTCTTCCTTGATGCATTCCTATTTTGATGAGTGATTTTTATTAATGACTTAGCTTTTTAAAGTCCTTGTTTTATTCCTGAGTGTCTCATTTTTTGGTCACTAGCCCTTAAAATGTGCCTGACTCCTCATCTCTTGTCCCATCTTGGTGTTTAAGGTTCAAAATGACCAAAAAATAACCTCTCTTCAACCCTCCTCCCACTGTCCAAAGACATAGTGTCGGTGCTCGTGGCACTTGTTTTCATTTCTCTTGATTTTTGTTCCCTGAGACTTACCTCTATTTCTTGCCCACATAGCTATTTTAAAAGTTGGGTTTCTAGCTAGGTATTTTATAGCCAGAGGCCTTATTTTGTTTAGTCACCCCCGTGCTGTGATCAATGGAAGTTATGTGTGGTTCATTTTTTTTCTTCTTGTCTGTGTTCCTGGTTCTATTTCCATTATAGTTGAAAAGTATTCGGTTTTTTCATAATGTGAATATACCCAAGGTATATTCTGGGAATATTCTGGGTAAATCTGGGAATGTTTATAAGGTTCATCTTATGTCATTAGGTACAAATGCAAGCCACAGAATGTTAGGTATTATATACTTCACTTATATAAAGACAAATATTTGAGAAACTGAAAGTAATTCAGTTAGGTGGAACATGGGGTATGAGGAGGATTAGAAGACAAGAAAAGGAAATAGAGCAAAAGCTATGAAGTTGGGGTGAAAGACCTATGTCACATAATACTTCATTTGTCAAGGTAAGATATTTGACCTTATTATTTAGGCAGTAGTGAGTCAGAGGTAGCATTATCAGATCTGTTTTTTAAAAAGCCAGCTTAGGGGCACGTGGCTGGCTCAGTCAGTTCAGTGTCTCACTTTGTTTGGCTCAGGTCATGATCTTGCGTTCCCCAGTATAAGCCCCGCGTCGGGCTCTGTGCTGATGGCTCCTCGGAGCTTGGAGCCTGCTTCAGATTCTGTGTCTCCCTCTTTCTCTGTCCTTCTCCCACTCACGCTGTGTCTCTCTCAAAAAATAAATAACGTTTAAAAAAATTTAAAACACAACAGAAAAAAAGAAAGCCAGTTTAGATTAGCAGAGTGCCTAAGTGAACATAGGTAAACCAATTAGTTTACTGGTGGTGTAGTTTGGTTAACAATTAAAGACTGTAGAAATGAGAACAAATGACAAAAATACAAGCAGTGTTGATGAGGCAGTGGGGGGTAAGGGGAAGGGAGAGTAGAAAAACTGAGTTATCCTTGGGTCGTAGAAAGTAAGTAGGGAAATGGAGTGATCTAAGATGCCTGCCCGGTGGCTTGGAAGATGAGGAGGTAGAGTAGGTATTCCTTTGTGAACACCATTTGACTTGCCATTGGTACATCTAATTCTTCTGAAGAGGACCATTAGGTATATGAATGATGTCCATGCACTCAGGAAAGGTGTGGGCTTTCAACAGCAACAACAAACCACATTGGAAGTTAGATAGAATAAACATGAGAGCTGACATGTTAACAGTAAGTGCAATTGCCTAGGGATGGCATATAGAGCAAGAGATTATGTAACCAAGGGCAAAACTTTAATGAATGCCCACATGCAAAGAGCAAATAGAAAACTAAGAAGTAACTGTCAAAGTTAAGAGGCCAGCCAGGAACTTTTATGGAGGCCAGTGAAAGAGGTTTCCATTAATTTTTTTTTTTTAATTAAGTCACTGGTGAGTGACATTCAGTGTAGTTAATAAAAACAGTACTTTGGATTTTCCAGTTAGAAGGTCATTGTTAGCCTTTGCCTGGGCATGGTTAGTAGAGAAAAAGAGAGCAAAACTTCTCTAATTTAGTGATTTTAGAGGTAAATTGGGGGCTCAATTTGAGTGAGAAGTACTTTTTTTTGTGGAAAACTTCTTTGTTTTGAAAGGAAGGAGATTGCGTTAGTAGCTAGAGAGACTCTTGATCAAGTAGGCGGTGGAGATAAATTTTTTTTAATATGGAGAAATTTTTAGGCTTCATCAACTTGAGTCAACTTTATCAAGTAAATGCAGGGTCCAGAGGAAGGGGAAAAGTTGAAAATTTAAGAGAAAGTATGTGATAGAGCATGCTTCCAGAGGAGGTAGGGGTACATAGGATAGAGCATGTTTCCAGAGGAGGTAGGGTACACAAGATGACTTGAGTCATTCAAGGACATTCTTGAGGACAAGTGCAGGATGCTAATGTAGTTGAGAATCGGGGAGTCAGGGATTTGGTTTTTCCTGGTATAGGAATCAGGATCATCTGGGTTTGGAATCAGCAATAGTAACATGTCGTAAGTGGACTTGCCAAGAGTGAAGGTTTAAAATAGTCACGGAGAAGACAGGGAATGATATAGACAACTAGGAATAATTAGAAGCATTGATCAGTTTCACTGAAAGCCTCATCAAGATAAGTGACCCACATTTTTTCATGACATTTTTTATGGTAGTATGATTTTGTTTATTTGTTTTAATCTTTATTTCAGCAGGATTTAGCATCTGGGTATGATGGGTAGAATGTCAGTTTTGAATGAATATGGTAAAAGGAGAAGCAAGAGGAAAGCAATGTTGGGGAAAAATAAATAGGTGCTATTGAGGAGGTTGTTATAATAATATACCTGCTGAGCTAATACAAATGAATAGCCACATTTTTCAAAACATATTCATCTAGGACCAGGCAAAAATAGATGAAGGAGAGTAGAAACTTTAACAGTGGTTACTGGTTATTTTTTCCCAGTCCTACACTAGAGGGTTATCACATACTCATTTCAAGCACCATGGCCTACTACTTAACAATTCTCAGGATAAGGGACTTGTAATTATAAGTCCACAAGGTAGGTGAGGATTGAGTGTCAAGATAGCAAAGACCAAAAAAAAAAATGCGGGAAGAGAACAAATTGTTTGGGCTGCATACATATTATTTTGATTATGTTCTTTGACTCTTTAGTAATGCTCTTGAGGGAGATACTGCATAAGTAATTAATTTTTTCTTCATTTTTTGTTTGTTTTCAAGGCTTTCTGTGAAACTTTAGAAGAGACAAATTACCGTTTTCAAAAAGAACTACTTGAAAAACAAAAAGAGGTGGAATCACTGAAGAAACTGCTCAATGAAAAGCAACTTCATATAGATACTCTAGAGAACAGAATTAGGTATATTGTGATACTTGCATTTTTGGCCTTACTAATTCAACTCAATACTCTGGGCTAAATGCCCTTTGTATTTTAATATGATTTAGGAAATTTCTGATTCCAAAAGTCTTAGACTCTTGGTATACTTCCTTGTAGGTTGGAAAAGTTGCCTTTTGATAATTTATTTAGGAGGCTGAACATTTGAAGGATGGGAAACATCAGAAAAATAAGCCTCTAGTTCAACAAGATAAACATTATTCGCTTTACCCTATTTAAGTGGCGTCTTTGTTTCAAGGCACTTACACTAATTTTTCACATGTGAAAGTTGTAGTTTGCGTTCCCATCAGCATATATTGAATTGATGTTGAAATCACTTTACATTAATCATAAGTACTAATTTCTCTGTTGACTCCCAGAGTCAGCACTTTATTAGCCATTTTAAGAATAGCTGAAGACTGGGGCACCTGGGTGGCTCAGTCAGTTGAGCATCCAACTTTGGCTCAGGTCATGATCTCACGTTCATGGGTTCAAGCCTCGCATCAGGGTCTGTGCTGATAGCTCACAGCCTGAAGCCTGCTTCAGATTCGGTGCCTCCTTCTCTCTCTACCCCTCCCCCGCTCGTGCTCTGTCTCTCTGTCTCTCAAAAATAAATGTTAAAAAGAAAAAAAAAAAAAAAAGAATAGCTGAAGACTGCTAAAGCTACATGTATTTACAAAAACAAACCAGTATTTATTTGTAGAAAATAACTTGTTATAATTTACTTTTAGAACATTGTCTTTAGAACCTGAAGAATCACTGCTCATGTGTGGAACGGAAGGTGGACACATCCCAAAGGTGGAGTCCTCTGCACCTGAGGTTGATGGAGATGATTTACATGAAGAATCTAGGTAAATAATATTTGGTTTATTGTAGCCCAATCATCTGAATAACTAGACGCAAATAGGCACTAATACTCTATAGAGTATTTTTTATGAACCCAATGTTACTGTATCATAAATCTCAGCAGAGAAAGACTTACAGATATTCTAAGCTGTGCCTAAAAATGAGTGTTTACAATCCAGGCTGTAAATGTTATTACTTACTTTGAAGATATATCTAAATTAAGTACTCAGTTAATTTATTAATTTTGTAAAGCTTGACAAATTAATCTCTCTCAGTCTTTTTCCATTCAAAAAGTGGGATACTGTAATAGCAACCAGCCTGCCTACCTACAGGAATGATAAAAAGATAGTATATTTGAAAGCACATAGAATATTTATTACTTATAAATCCAAAGTCATCATTAATACTTTAGTGGTAGCAGGTAAGCTGTAATTAGGAGAACAAATTTTATATTGGTGAAAGTCACTATATTTTATTGATAAATGATAGTTGAAAGAGCTGAAAGAATTAAAAATATATCTCCAAAGGTGTTGTAACAACAACTTAAAAATGATTAAATTTCTGATCAAATATTTGAATATTCTTTTCCATGAAATATTTCCCATTAATATTTAAATATTCTTTAGGTAAAATTTGAAAGGTGATAGTGAAGGGAAACAGCATGTATCTAATCCCTTTATTGACATGTTTCTCTTTTTTGCAGAGCTGATGATAAGCCATGCTTAAGTTTGAGTGAACCTGAAAATTCTGTATCAGACATAGAAGTAGCAGAAGTGGCATACAGTGCTGAGGACGACTAACTGCGAGCAGTTCCTTCCATTTCTATGTTTCGGCAAATTTAGAATAGAGTGGGAAATAGTTAAAAATAAAAGAAAGACTGAAGCATTTACAGAAAACAAAAAGATTGCACATGTATACAGTTTACATAAAGAAAAGTTTTTTAAGTTATTGGGATAGGAAATGTATTCATTGCTGCTTTAAACTATCTTTTATCCAACCTTTGTATTTAATACACCAAAAAAAAATCTAGTTAGAATTCTGTTATCAAAACTAAATTCTTAATGTGCATAAATTATTTTGGCTTTTTGCCAATATATTGCTCCAAACTAATGTGTGTATGTGCGCGCGCGCGTGTGTGTGTGTGTGTGTGTGTGTGTGTGTGTGTGTGTGTGTGTGTCTGTTTGTGTTTAAATTGCCAATTATATCAGTTAAGTGGACATTAAATGCATGTTGCTATCTGGTTGATATATACTTCTTTGTATCTCTGACATGATATATTTTCATTAGTGGTTTAAATCAGTGGTAAAGATGAATTAAGTTTTAAATATTGACATGTTTGCCATCTGTAAATAAAAATTGCCTGTTGCAATGTTATTGCTATTTAAAAAGAAGAAAACTTTCTAATACCAAAGGAAAACTATTTGAAAGAGCTATAGTAACATATAATAGCATAGCTAAAGTGATAAAATAGCGTTGATTTTAAAAGCTAACTCATTATCAGAATATTATAAGTGTCCTAGTTTATTATAATATGTTGTACTGATTTTCCAGTAATCTTTATCTTAAATCTCTACCTGTAGAATCAGTGAGTTTGCCTCTTTCAGAATACTACCTCTTTTTGCTAATCAAAATATACTCTTTTGAAAATATTGATTCTAAGCAAAAGGGAGTTATAAAAAAAAAACACAAAATAAAAAGCCATATATACTATAAAGTTCCTAACTATGTTGACTCCTGGGATTGTATTTTTATCTCTGCATATGTGAATATGTTGCTATAATGTATTAAGGCTGATTTTCCTTTTAATATATTTAGCCAAGTGATGCACTTTATGATAATTAAACTCTTTTGTGCCAAGTTTAATTGGTGAATTTCTTTAGTAAGTGGAGTTAGTAAAAACTTATGTAGTGCCTTCACTGTTTCACTTTTATACACCAGTCTGCTAGAATCTGTGTCAGCTTTATGAAAAAGTGTTTATTTCAGATTTGCTTATAGTTGTTCAAAGTGCCTTGTTTCGTTTTTATAATATGTAGTTACTCATTTATTTTCTATTTCCACTGCTTTGCATATTGCTGTTAATAAGTACTGTGATCATGCTAGCATTCTGAAATTCCACTTGGTTTTTTGAACTGCATGTGCTTTCTAAAAGCTGAGGGAAACTTACTAGGGAAATAGAATAACGATCTCCAGTTTTGTTTTCTTCACTATCTAAAAGTTTATCGGTATCTTGATGTACATATTAAAATGTGGTTGTTTAAAATTCTACTTAAGTAGATAAAAGATCAATTGGCTATTGTCAACTTTTGATCTAAAAAGGGACTGCTTTTTACCAAAGGACCAAAAATTGTAAAAAAAAAAAAAACCTTTGTCCAAATGCACAGGTATGTTTTGTCTCAAAATATATTCCACAAAGTATACTAGAAATGTGTTTACTATCTTGGGAGATAGAAAGAATGTAATAAACTATTCTATCTGTTCATTTCAAATATTCTAGGCCTAAAAAGGCGTAAAAAGAACAATCATTTAAATTAATATCATTTTTAGTCGAATAAAACAAGATGATCTTTGCTGAATTTTAGACGTTATAGTGCTATATTCATGTCTGCTTTAAAGTGAACCATACATTTTCAAAATCTAGCCTTTAAGAACATTGTATGTAAAGTTTTGGATGAGTAAAGAAAAACCCTTGTTGATAAGCCACTATTATTTATATTTAGAATTTACTTTTTTTTTTTTACTTTTGTGATGCATTTTATTCCCAGTATTATATTCATTTAATAAATTATTTTTTCAGTACAGCAGTAGCTATGTTGTTTAGATCTTGAATACCATTTTCCCCCTTCAATTTCAATGTTCTCTCTATCCCTTACAATTATTGTAAATTTAATTATACTTAACTGCTGCATTTCACAGACATGGAATGAGTTTATGATTTTTTTAAGTTTATACTTCATATTACTGATAATTTTAAGTCTTTGTGAATAGGTGCAGTACACTTCATATGTAACCAATATTAATAAAAAAAAATTGAACATAATTCAAGCAGAAAATACTTTTGTGGATAATCTTTTAACTTAAGCTTCTAAAAATTAAGTTCCTGTATAGGTAGTAAAACCATAAAACTTAGCATTTTAAAATGCATTTTATTTGTCTACTATCCTGAGATTACACATTTAAAGCACATTTATTTAGAAAATCATGTTCCTCAGATAAATTATGTATGTAGTCTACTCTAACCATCTGTGATATCAGAAGGGAACAGTGGCCTTCAGTCTGCAAATAATTTGTCTGGTTTTGAAATGAGTTTTGTTACTTACAGGAATAGAGGAGTTTGGGGATTATGTTAAAAACAAGTCTGTATTCCTAACTAGTAAGGAGAAGAATCTAAATTTTATCCTCTGGAAGATTTTCAAAGAGCCACATAGATTATCCACATTTTACTTCTTCCTAAAGATAATAGAATTATCTTTACTGTATTGCACTTTGCTTCTGTGCTGTTGGCTTCTACTAGCAAAACAATCATTAGAACTTGTACAACACAAGTGTTTTTAAGGTTGATGTCTGCTATACTACATAGTGTACCCTTTATGAGGACTCATGGGAGAAAATTCTCTTAGGTCTCAGTAGCAGTAAAGCCTGTTCTTAAAGAATTGGTTTGTTTTTATCCTAAAGACTGTTACTGTGTTTCTCTTTTTTGATTTGTTTTTGGAGCAGCCTTAAGCCAAATTGTAGGTCACCTGTAACTACCATATAGAACCTTAGGAGTTGTGCTTTTGTGTAGTAAACATGATTTTATTTTATTTTTTCTTGCTTTCTCAACTCCAGTTTTCCTCCCTGTTTAAGGTCTTCAGTTAGGACAGATGTATATTTCTGTTCTGATAAAGTCTCAGATTTGAATGATATTTTAGGCTACATTAGATAAGAACTTGTCATAGTCTGTGCTAACAAAATTACTGCACCAGTATGGATGGCAGTTCTTAGGGTGCCTGGTGGCTCCGTTGAGCATTAGACTCTGTGCTCACAGTGCAGAGCCTGCTTGGGATTCTCTCTCTCTCTTTCTCTCTGCCCCTCCCCCACTTACACACATGCACTCTCTCTTGAAACAAACATTTTTTTTTTAAAGGATGGCAGTAATTACACAAAGCTAAATTACTCTTCCCTTTAAAAGATGTCTTGAAGTAGAACATGTGAATATGGAATGTAAACTTAGACAAGCTAGCCAAGGGCAATCTATGGGTATGTTCGTGGCTAAAGCACAATATTAATTAACTCAGATTATGGTTTTAACCATAACCTTAAAGTAGAAGACCCACTTGCCACTTTCTTATTTATCATTGACAGAAAAGTTAGAATAGTGTCATTAGCTCCACACAAAACAATAATAAAAATCAATACAGGTAATATATACTCAATAGCCAAAGGTAGTGTTTTATTGTAATAGATACAGGGTAAGACCTGGTATACGTCTAATGGAATGTTTGCAACCTAGCTAATTGTAATCAAAGAAGTATTAGATGCTGGCTAAAGTGCTTTGCTAAGGTGTGAAATGAAAAGCACACCTTGGAGTGATTAAGCTTATATCTGGAAGATTTCTTAGAATTAGGTCATATGCAGAGGCGCCTGGGTGGCTCAGTCGGTTGAGCCTCCGACTTCGGTTCAGGTCATGATCTCATGGTCTGTGAGTTCGAGCCCCGCATGGGGCTCTGTGCTGACAGCTCAGAGCCTGGAGCCTGCTTGGGATTCTGTATCTCCCTCTCTCTCTGCCCCTTCCCCGCTCATGCTCTCGCTCTCACTCTCTCTCTCTCTCTCTCTCTCTCTGTGTCAAAAATAAATTCTAAAAAAAAAAATTTTTTTTAATTAAAAAAAAAAAAAAGAATTAGGTCATATGCCAGTCCTGTCTTCCAGTTCCCTGTATAGCAAATACCATTCATTGACTAACCCGAAAGATTCTTTGCCCCCTCCAAAGTAGGAATGAGATAAACTGAATACTTATTTTCTCAGCTCCCCTTGCAACTAGGTTTGAACTTCTGACCCAATTATGGGCAGTGAGATGGATAGAAGTATGCTGGCAATCCACTTCTGGAAATCACTTGCTTTTCCTGTAAGAAGGTAAGCATACTGCTGATACAGCCTCTCCTCCCCCACTTCCCCCCCCCCCCCCCCCCACCTTGTTTTGATCTCAAGGAATGCCTGGAGGTGCTATGAAAACCATCTTGCAAATACAGTGTGGCAAGTGTGAGTGAAGGGTAAGGGAATCACAGAGAGTCTAGCCACTTGTTAAACCACTAAAAATTGTTTTTTGTTAGTTGTACCATGATAAAACCTATTTTTTTAATTTGAGCTGTAGGTTTAACCACAGGATAAAAAGCTTATCAAACAAAAAGGCTTTTCTTCCTGTGAAGATATTGTATATTTTGTTAGTAAAGAAAAAAGATTAAAGGAGAAAATTTTTTTTCTTGAAACCTGAAAGGGAGAGAACCATCTATTAGATATACCAAAGATCGCTTACTTCTGAGGCTCCTTTAGGCAAACCAAATACGAAAGAGAAGGCAGCCTGTTGTTCTACACATGTGGACTAGTCTTCTCAGACTGCTAGAACAAAATAACTGCAGACTGGATGGCTGAAACAGGAATTTGTGTTCCCAAGGTGCCAGCAGAGTGGGTGGTGTCTGCTGAGGGCGCTTTCTGGTGTCTCCTTAGGACATCAGTCCTGTTGGATCAGGACACTACCCCTGTCTCATTTAACCTTCATCACTTCCTTGGAGGCCCCATTTCCAAATACAGCCACACTCGGGGGTTA